CCTTTGGGTTCCAGAGGCTCGTTTCTTTTAAGTTTTAATTTCTCTCGTTTTGGCTTATCTTTTAAAAATCAAATTTAAGTAATTTTTAGCACAGGTTATCCTTTTTAAAATATATAATCCCATCCTGCAAAAGCATTTTTGGCTTTCAAATCTTTATAGAAAAAGGTATTGTGTTAAACTTTTTATTATTATTATTCTTAACCATCAATCTTTTTAATTAGTGCTTGCGTTAATTGTGACAGATGAGACTTTATAAAAATTAAAATCTCATTCATAGAAATAATTTATTTATTAATTATTTTTGGATTCCGTTTTTATTTTCTTGTCTTACTCATGAATTTGAATAATTCTGAAGAAAATGGTATGGCCCTTGTTAATTGTCATGGGCCACTCTGATGTTAGAAAACCTTATTCTTCAAGCAAGCATGATGGCTTTGATCCTTTTCTTTACAGCATCTTAATCCTAAAAAACCTTTGTTATACATTTATGTTAAGTTGGCGTGACAGAGACTTGGTTCTGAATCCTTTAATTTGCTGGATGCCTTGCAGCTCGCTCTTTGGATGTCCACATTCCATCCATTAATTTGGATCTCCACATTCCATCCATTAATTTGGATCACCAAGATGATCCAGATAGGGCGGAGGAAAATCGAATTAGGAAGGACGAGCGAAAGCGACGTTACAGAGAGGGTTTGCTTCTTTTAAATTTTAATTTCTCTCGTTTTACCTTATTTTTTAAAAATCAACTTTAAGTTATTTTTAGCACATGCCTCCCTCTTTTTAAAATATATAATCCCATCTTGCAAAAGCTTTTTTAGCTTTCTAAACTTTTTTGAAAAAGGCTGTGTTCAACTCTTTATTATTATTATTTTTGGTTGCCTTACATTTTAATTAATAATTATATTAAAGGTTAGTATTTACTCGTTTTACTTTTAAAAAATTAAGAAAATAAAAAATAAAAATTATTTTAATATATATTTTAAAAATAAAGTAATTTAATTTTTTTAATAAAAATTTATTAAAATAATATAATTTTAAAATAATTTTTTTTTTAATTTTTAAAAAATAAAATTGATGTGCACTATTTTTTTATATTAATTATGAC